TTTAAGTGTCAAAGAAATTGTGAACCTGACGGCAAAAAAATGACTGCAGAACTTTATTGAAGGACTGATGTATTTTTGGAAAGATGGGCCCCTGTTATTGAATATCTAGAATTACCATGATGATACAGAGCTGCACTGACTTAATCCAGCTATTAATTGTTATATTGTCAGTGTCATCTTCTATCTGAGTTTTTTGTTTTGTCATTACTTATTTTCTTATGCCAAAAGGACCTTTTTTCCTGGGGAAATGTGTCCAGTTCTACTGTGTCTTTCATTGTTTCATTGGAGGCTGAAAATATGAAATGCACAAATATAAATAACAGGTTTGGTTTAAAAAAAAAAAAAGGGTGAAAAGTTGATAAGAAATACACACTATATATTAAAGAAATGTAAGGGGTTCATTTCATTGTGTTTCAGTGGCGACTCTCCATGGAATTGTGTGTTGGTATTCAGCACCCAGGAGGATTACAACATATGTCACCTCTGTGGATTCATCTGACACTACAGTCACATTCAAGTGACTGCGGTTGCAACACGACTCTACGTCCGCATTTGTGTCTATGGGTCTGTGATGTAGCACAAGTCTTAACATTTCCTGTGGTTGCTTCTCAAATTAGAAGCTTCTGTTTCTGTCTTATGATCTGTTTTCACAGAACAGAAAACAAACACTGATACTGGCTGTTTGAGTGAGAAAAGTCACAGACCACAGAGGCCTCACGTGTTTGTGAGGCTCATTTTCTGTTTCACTTTGAGCGAGCGGTGAGGATTTAAAACAGCACACAGTGTTGGATATATGAGAAGGGGCACTTTAACTTTCCACTAGCCTCCACAGTCCGCCTGATCTCAGCTTAAAACTCACCACTGGGGGAGCGTGAATACGTGGTCATGAGATAGCTCTAAAAATGTGTCCATAACAAAAGGGCTTGTGTGGAGGGTGGCTTAAACACATAGAGTTTCATTCTCTCCCAGGCAAATCTCAAACTTGGATACTGAAGGCATGAACGTTTACACAAAAGGTGACATCATGTGAGAGAGAATGAGTTTTCATCTCTGCATGCCTCGACAGCCTCCTGCATGTCTGAAGCATGTCTTATCATGTGGGTGTTGGCAGCCGTGCATGCACACTCTCAGTGTTTTCATGAACTTTGCTTCTGAAACGAGTTGAACACAAGACATGACACAAAAAGGAAAAAAAGAGAGCAGGAGTCTCTAAATGTGAAACAATGGAGGATCAAAAATAAGAGATTACTGAATGGAAAAAACCTGTGTGCACTGTACCTGGCTGAAATCCTGGAGGGTCTGGAGTCAGGCTGGAAAGTCATGGGAAGTTCAGGGAGGATTTTAGGCGTTGGATCCCTTTACTTTAAAATTCCCTGTGGAGGTCAGCTCCAGCTGCTCTGTCCCCCCCTCCTCTAGAGCCCCTCTGGGTCGTCTCCCTCCTCTGGATCTTCTCCCTCCCCACCGGCCACGACAGACCGAGAGGCTCCAACTTCCCTCGGCTGCAGAGACGGAGTCACAGTGAAGGGAGAAAAAGTTGTTTGGCTTCTCTTCCTGTTGGTGATGTCACATCCTGACTTTGTCTACTTTGCCCTGCTGCTGCTGCTGTCTATGTGCGTGTGTGTGGGTGTGTGTGGGTGTGTGTGTGTGTGTGTGTGTATAGAGGACCTATAAATTGAAAGAGAAGAAGGGCTGGAAAAGGTCTCTTCAAACCCCCACTCTGGCCTCCCTCTGTTCCATTTTTTCCCTTCTTCTTCTCCTCATCCTGTAAGCAGAGGAGCCAGCCCACTTGTCCCATCAAAGCCCAGCCCTCTGGTAAAAAGGTCCTGAGAAAACCACCCCTCCTCTTAAGCCACATATAGGACACAGGCAGCAGAATGATCCCACAGACATTTCTGGATGTTTGGCAGAACACGCCGCTCCTTGTATTTGTGAAGTCTCAGTAACATATCATTTAAATTCTTGGTCTTTTAAAGACATTGTAGTTGAACTCTGAGCATATAGCCTTAAATAGAGAATGTGCTATATGCTCTTTTTTTAAAAACAGACAAGAATCTGCGTTTAACAAAGAGGCGTGTTCGACTGAACCAGTCCATTTTCCCTGTGCCCTGGAGGGCCGAGAGTTCTTCTGATAGCTGTTCCCTTTGTCTGGAAGGTGAATGGGTGCCACAAAATATGCAAAGGGTGTCTGTTTACTCTCCTGTGTAATGAAACACAACCTGCAAAAAGAAGCTGGCTATAGACCTTGTGACATGATTCTCAGTGGGAGGGATAAAACTGTTGGATGGGATAAAGTGACAACAAGTTCCAGTGTTTAGGTTTGCTGCTGTGTGAACAGATTAAGAATAACTGTATGCTTTCTGTTTTAAAAATGCAGCTTCAGATGTTTGGATGTGCAGAGAAAACAGGTAATGGGATGTAGAGGAAACTAGAGTTGATAGATAACTGTTGATTTAGGAGCAACGAGTGCAAAAGTGTGACGCAACAACTATAACAAAAACACTTTGTCTGGGCCTTCCTATATATTTGTGGCTGTCCTCTCTTTTTTGAACACGTGTTATGTTTTATTGTATTGCAATACTCAGGTTAAGAGTTGAATTCCCTGTTTGATGGGTCCTCCCTGCAAAACTTACACACATTTTAAATCGTGTTATGTATTGCTGCTAAACTGGTCTAAACCTCCAATACTTGATGGATTCAAGATTTTTTTATTCTACAATGTTGTCCATTTAGAACTTCCTTAGTTTATAGTAATGACCAACAACTTCAATAACAAGAGTAAAGGAAATTCTGAGATGCCATGACCCGGCATATCCACTTGGTGTCACCATTACTGTTTTGATGAATGGTGCACGAAGCTTCAGCTCTATGAGTTACACATCTGAGAGAAAATCTGTATAAATTACTCTTTTTTTATACTGGTAAAAAAAAGCAAGGCTATGCTAATGTAATTTTTCATACTTTACATTTGAGATAGGTGTGATTTAATGAAAATGTAGATGTAATGTGATTTAGCATGAATAATACTGTATAATCAAGTGGAGTGATCAATTTCACCACTACTTTGATTAGCATGCCAAACTCAATTTTAAAAAACATTCAAAAAAGTTCTTCAGCCCTTTATATGCGAACAATTACATGATATCTAATCAGGACTAAACAGTAACTGGTTGCACAAACACTATTCAACTTTTTGCAGAGTTTCACCCAATAGTGACGACATTCAAAGGACGTATGTGTGTGTGTGTGTGGCCTGCAGCTACATGGCCTGCTCTGCACTCGATGTGACTGTCACAACTGAGACATGTGACACAGGAGGATGTGACACGAGTCAGGCCTTCTTTCTCCTCTGATCATTCAGCAGAGTACTCACATACTTCGCTGTTTGTCACTCAGAGCTCTTGAACCGGTCACACACATTCCAAATAAATTTAGGTTTACACAAACACCAGAGGAGACAGGAGGAAAATGATGAGCCTGCTGTTTGAACCGCTGCAACCTGTTGACAAATAAAGTCAAAGTTAAATTCACATGTATTACTATTATTCACTTTCTTTAACATTGGCCGTTTGCAACATTTTCATTGATTTCACAGTGAATAATTGGATATATATATATATATATGATTGAAAATATATTGTATAATGTATACACTATTTATTTTTCTTTTGGCCTTGTCTGTGTTTCCATAAAGAGACTGTTCTGTGTCTTATTTGTTCTCAAACTAGTCACAGACTGCCTCACCTGTACCCTAACCTTGAACCTAACCTGAACCTGATCCTAAACTTAACCTTATCCTAACTTTAAAAATGTCTTCACCTCAAAATGAATTGATTTGTTATGTAGACTTGCTTTTTGTCCCACTAATATGACTGTGTAAACCGATTTAGGTCCCCACAACATGAGAAATAACTCATGTTAGCCACACACACATACACACACAGGTGAGGGTTTGAGAGCCTGACATCTAAAGCATGAGGTGAACAGGTTACCATCATATGGATGATTTACGATCACACAAGCAGAGAAGGTGTCTGACACACTGAGCTACAACTTGGCTGCAGATCATCCTCTCTGTGTAATCATTTTTCAACCCGGACGGTGTCAAGCATCCATCTACAACACGCCGTTTAATTTATAAAGTAAAGCGACACATACCTGAGCTGAGGGATGGTATATACAGGGAGTTTATCTGTGTATGTAAAACATCATGCTACACACACGTACAAGCAGATCTTCACCAGGGATCAGATTCTGTCACTAATCTGAAGCCTGATTAAACTGCCCCACTTTACCTTGTACCCCAGTTAGAGAGAATTTACACAAAGAAAATATTAATATTAAATATTTAAATCTGAGGCTTTTTTATACATTTTATTGACAACTAAACAGTCATGGAAATTGTCTGTGCCGGGGGTACATCTCCAAACTTATTGAAAAGATAAAGACAGTAAGAAACAGGTTAATAAAAGTAAAGTTAATTAAAAAATATAATTAAGGAAAGAACTTAGTAAAGGTTCAAGCTTTAGGAATCAGCAGTGCATAAGTATTTGTCAAACACATAGTTAAGTTAAACTGCCATCTTATTTTTGAGTTTTTTATAACGTGGTGCCATCTTAAATCAGATCTTGGTGAAAATGTCAGTTTGGAGTCTGTCTATTTTTTCTCGTAGATCCAAATAATAAAATCAATTCTACAAATATAATATCTGTATCCACCTCATTACTGTCAATACATTGTCCAGTTATTCTTAATTGTAAACATCTACCTTAAATATTATTGTATATATACAAATACATGTACTGTATGTATAGTTTAACCTAAAAGTTGTCAGAAAGTGCAGTAATATTCAATATTGATTGTAAACCCCTGTAATGTTTTTGTTTCAGATGGATATATTTGATGCAAACATTTAAAAGACATTTCTCTGACTTTCAGTGAATTTCTCCACAAAGTCCAGAAGAATCGAGCTGGGGACAGAACTGCAGCTTGTGTGGAAACAGTGAAATGTGGGGCTGCAGGTCGAGGCAGACTTACAGTCGATTGCGTCCATATTAGGCGACCAGCAGAGGGGTAGAAAAAATGACTCCACCTTTCTTTCCAGCAGCAGCTCCATCAAAGGGCTGGCTCATGAGGAGGAAGATTTAAGCGGAGAGGAAGAGGAAGAGGAAGCGGAGCTAACTTCGCGCAGACAGACACGCCCTGAGTCACATTATCCGCTGCTTTCGACTGTTCAACTCAGCGCAAGTGAGTATTCTTCACAAAATATATGCGTGCACGGGTTTAAACAGCTTTTTCAAGTTGTTCACTTTCCGCTTTCAGGTGGGTTTCACTTGCTGGGGGCGTCGTTGGCGGCGCGCTTTTACGCAGCGTCATGCTCATGTTTCATTCATTCAAACGGCTCAAAGTGGGGTTTTTCGCCTCCATAGCTTCATATAATCTTAGGGATGAACATATTTTTGCTGCTAGCGTGAGCGTTGATTTCAATTTCCACTCTTGAACTCTTGTGCGGAGCTGTGCCAAAATGTGTATCCACTGAAAAACGTGTGGTTGCAGTGGCCATTTGCAAACATATCCGCTCAGTTATTGGGGCTGTTGGTGATGTTATAGGCGTTTGCTCTCATCATTGACATCTGTGCTGTAGACAGTGGGCTCATGGACAACCTACGCACAGCAGCTGTGTCGTCTGTCCTGTGCAGACAGCTGAGAATGTGCCTGTCAGCTAAGTTTGAAGTTGTCACATCCATTGAAGGAAGTGAGGTAATGTGTGTGTGTGTGTAGCTAACTTTTTAAAAATAATTCTTGTACAGTCTGGTGAGTGTAAGAGTTTAGAAGTGCATGAATCTGATCAGAGAAAACCCTCAGGTCAAATTTCCAGCTTTCACATCAGCACAAGCTGCTTGTAGCTCTGATGTACTTAAAATCTGTTGTTCAGTTGAATCAGTGTGGCCAGACAAAGTGTATTCATCGCCCCCTCAATAATAAATAATGATCTTGTGAGAGGTTTCAACAACTGTTTCTTCTCTGTAGAGTCCAACAATACCTCCGGCGCATCTTACCTTTGGTTTGTACTTTAAAGACCGTCCCAAAAAAGACTTTTATGGATTGTAATCTCAGATTGTGTGTTTAACAGGTAGGCTAGTCTTTATTGCAAATGTAGTCTCACCTTCCTGGACCATGAATGAAAACCTACCTGCTGGTCAGTGGTCACATGTTATAACGGTCTGACTCACTGTGACTGCTGCCTCTCACCTTGCATGCTCAAGAGATCAAATCCATTTTAAAGACAAAGCTACGGGGTTGTTCACTCGGCTCATGTCAGCCAAGTGAAAAATAATAAAAGATGTTCATCCGGTATATTACTGAGAAATGATACGGAGGCTTGGCTTGAAACATTTTCAACAGGTTGAGAGAAAATTACATTTTTTCTTTTTACTTTAATATGGTGAGATTGAGCACTTTATACTTTTCATCAGTTTCTTAGAATGATTAACTGATACTGATGTGAAAAAAAAATCAGGCACATTTAGGGAACCGATGTTTAAGTGTATGCAACTCAAATTTAAGGGGACTGTTGGGTTGTGGCGAAGGTTCCATTAACATTTTTATGATACTAACACAAACATCTATCAAGACAATTTGTCAAAACCTGTTTTGCAGGATTTTTCTTAAACAGTGACTAATTGAAGCGCAGTCAAACTTTCTACCGTGTGGTTTTTCAATACAAGAGCAAATATGTACACTATCTTATCATATCCAGGTAATGTCCTTTAATCAATATTGAAAGCTCTGTCACCCACACCTATTTACTCAATGTAACAGTGTTAGTCATGTTAAACTCTTGCTTTATTTCATCACTCTGAGACAAGACAGAACCATATCCTGCACCAACTTGTTTATGCAATGCACTATTGCGGAACAGATGCTGCTGAGGGCAAAGCTGCAAGTTTTTACCACTCACTCTTCCATCTGAGATCACAGTACGATCAGATAAAGTGGCACCATGTCCAATTTAAATATTTGCACAGTTGCAATGGACACATGTTAACTTAACACTGTGTACATGGATTTGGATGGAACAAAAAACTTGAATATTGCATTAGTGACTGGCTGTACTATTAGAAAACATGATTTACAAAACATGAGCTCAACTTTATTTAAGTATTTTACAGTAGACCTGATAAATGAAAAAAACCAACATGTGCATTGTCCCTCACTGATTCTTTTGTCTGTGTGGGTAGATAATGGATCACTAACCAGGTGTAAACCTGTAAACAGTACCCGCAGCTCACGGGTGTGGGACGGAGACAAGGTGCCTGAGGGTCAACCAGCACCACAGGTGTATCTCTGATAGTAATGTAAACACAGCCGCAGCATTGTGACTGTTAACGCTTCAAGGTTGAATGTTATCACCTTCATCAGTGTCAACACCCTCACATTGACTGAACTGATCTTACAATGGAGGCTGAAGAAAAAAGATTTCTGAGGGGCTGACATTGGGCAGCAGAAATATTTGCAATACTGATTTTTTTTGGGGATCTGAACCAAATTGCACACACAAATAAATATCACTTCCCGTAAATATGCCATGAATTATTTTCTGAAAAATATCTAACAATGTTAAATCTAATCCGGGTAATGCCCAACTGCTCTACAAAATTTCATGGAAATCGGTTGAGTAATTTCTGTCCTGCCAACCAACTAACAATAAATACAGATAAAAATGAAACCTCCTTGGCAGAGGTAAAACGTCCTGACATGGCCGTAATATGTCACCATCAAACCTTTATGCCAGAGAAATGGAATTGATGCTTGATATTTTACAGGTTAACCATTAATGATAGAAAAAGATAACACAAGTACAGTAGAACTCTTTATGTACAACATATTAACCCAAATGCACGTGTTTTCTGCATTGTTTATTCTGTAAAACCAGTTTTCAAATTGGTCTTTTGTTTGTATTTAAGAAAACTCATGCAGGGCTGAGTGTGCTTTTTTTTATTTTTATGCTGCAGTCCCACTTATCACAGTTGACCTCCAGTCGTCTGCTGTTGGTCTTTAAAAGGAAAATGCTTTACACTGACTGTTCCGTTAATACATATTCCTTACCGGTGTGACGTTTGAGGGACCCTTGTCAGAACACTGTTACATCTCATTGACTAAGTTCACTGAAGCACAAAGTGTCCTAGTGACTGCGATACATATCTGACGTACTACCACGTCGTGTTCATTGTTCCCCCGTGTGTTTGAACTGCGTCACGTGCTCCAGATAAAGATCAGTCTCTTCGTGATCGCAGTCTGTGCTAGACTGTACAACTGTTGCTCAATTGGATGTTGTCAGTTGATTTTGGGCTCATGTTTGTTTAGTATAATAAATTAATATTCAAATCCTGTATGTCTGTGAGGCTCATGTTAACGTTTAGATGATGCAAATTAAAAAAGGCCAAAGTTTACTTGTGAATACTGTTTGATTCCTGCTCTTTGAACAGGATGTTCATTTGTTGTTTTAGCAAACAGATGATTTATGACCTTCACTAAGGAGGTTATGTTTTCACCCCTGTACGTTACTTGGTTGGTTGTGTTAACTTACAAGTACTATTATCTCTGTAGCTTTTGTAATTGTATTGAGTTGGAAAATATCAGCCTGTGAGGGAGGGAACATGTTATTGTGCATTGAGGGGAAATGAGGACATTTTTGTGAAGGTACAGGAAGTTGTTGTTGGCGCTAATAAAAATTGTTGTTGCGACTGTGTGTATATGTACACACTTTGAAGTACATGTCAAAGTGGAGAGACTGGCATTATTAACATGTTGTTTGTCAGGATGCCAAATGTTTAGTTCACCTGCTGGTTAAATTTGCACCAGTTCAATTCAGTGCAAGTGTTCGTAGTATAGAACACTATAACTAAACAGAATGTGAAGTGACTTGTTCTTGTCTATTGGTGAAGTAAAATCTATGTGCTGACCTTGTTATGCCTTTTAAATATGTCGTTTGTTATGACCAGCATGCCTCCAGAAGGCGTTGCCAGGTTACGTGTTTTTAGTTTCATCATCAACTGCTTTTTGAAATTTGCTTGAGTGGTAAAATTTTGCTTTTCAACTTAAGCTATTCCCTGCCTAGCTGTTGTTTCTTTGAACTGTGGCGCCATCAGTTTTTGGAAAATTGGGAAACATAGTTGTAAATTGTAAAAATAAAACTGGAGTGGGTGTTGCATCACTGATGGAAACCAATAACTAGCATACTGGCAGATGCTTCCAGATGTGCATCAGTCCAGATATCAGTTCAACATCATAAAACTCTAAAAACTGAATTAATTTATCTTGTGCCTCTCAGGTTCTTGCTTGTATATGACTCCACTAACTGCATTTAGTTCAACATGTGGGCCGTCTTTGGATTGCATCCCTCCAACAGACTCCTTATTGAACTACATTTAAATGCACAAGATCCAGATTTCTACTTGGATCTGACATGGCACAAACTCAGAAATATCAATCTCCTAAACATGTGTTGTTGTTTTTTTTCTCCATGAATCATGACTTGAGAAATCAAAGAAACTGTTGAAAGTCGCCCTCACAATGTTAACGTTCAGAAATGTAATGTGCTCCTTGACCCATACTGCATCCCTCTACCAAGTGTAGTGGAAATTTGTCCCTTAGTTAATGTGTAATCCTGCGGACAAACGCATGTGAAAACATAAACTCTCTGGCGGCGGTAAAAAAGTGTTTGCAATCAAATTCTTGACCTGGATTCAGACATCAGTGGGTTGTAGCTGGGGAGAGGTCAGTTTTAAGTGTTGTTCTGTGTCTACTCGTTTTCTTTTCTTTTGTACCTCCCTTTGCAAATCCCAGTAAATTTTCCCTCTGGGATGCCAGGATACTTATCAGATGACTCAAGCCAAGACTTGCCTTTTTTTGGAAGCTCAGTCTTGGGCTCGCCCTCTTTGCACCGTCAGAACAGGTGACGTAAGATAAGAAATCAGAGCTCAACCTGGCCATTAACATTCATCAGATAAAGGCTTCTCGATTCAACTTTGCCCCACAGTCACTTCTGTGACTGTGCACAGTTGTTTTGCAGTGAGGAAATACTCACTTTATTGTGGTGACACTCAGATCTGTCTTTTTAATATGTTATAAGTAATATAAATGCGATAAGACATCATTTAGAATCTGTACATTCATTTGCAGTTTATATTGCCAGGTACTTGTTTGTAATTCTGGATCAAGTGAATTCAAATGTGGGATTACAA